TAAAGATTTTAGAGGCCGTGTCCAATAGCTCTAATTGAGGGGTTTGTGGGCCCTTTTTTATTTTTGGAATTTGCGCCTAATACCCGGTGCTGACTGGGAGATAAAATATATAGCCAAAGAGTTTAAATCAACATTAGTAAACTGCTAGGACGACTGGTGCGGCCTTGGTTCAGGTTACCGGAGGGCTACACTGGGGAACGATTGGAAGGGGAGGATATAGGGATCAAGCTGCCGGAGTAGAGGAGGGTGGGGGCAGGGGAGCATGAGGCTGTTGAGACTGCCTGTAAGGGGGGGCTCATCTGCAGGGTCGAAATCTGAGATGGAGGAGGAGGTAGCAGAACTGGAACTTACAATGTCTGCAGTGGGGGGAGAGGAGTTTTGGAGAGGAGGCTGAAGTGTGTGTAAAACAAGGGGAGAAGGAGAAGTTGTAGAAGAGGCGGCAGATGCTAGCATGAGTGGAAGGTAGAGATTAGAGGGATTGCAATTGAGGCAGAGGCGGAGATGTCCACAGAGGAGAGAAAAGGACTGAACATAGGGAATCTCTACCCACCGTTTTGAACGCTCACAGAAATTATATAAATCCTGAATAATATCAGGATTGAGGGACCCCCTGGGGGGGCCACTGATTTTGGTTGTCTAAGGGCATGTTGGCCAATCTTGGGTGCAGAAATGAATTAGGCATTTGGGTTTGATATCAGGGAAAAGAGAAAGTGTGGTGAGATTGTTTAAGAGGCATTTAAGAGGGGAATCGGCCGGCAGGGATGACAAACCTCCCATGATCAGACAGGTAGACTAAACAGGGCGTCTCCCGAAGAGTCGGCTGTCCAAAAAGTGTGGCTGTGGCAAAGCCTGTCGTCACAGGGGTTTGGCACAACCAGTGTCCTCCTGGAGAACCGAGCAGGTCAAGGCACCTAGCATGAGGATTTTTGAATCAGACTGAAAGCACTTGACCGGGTGGCAGGTGGGAGCGTGTTCAGGATTCCTGCCGGTCGACTAGGGCTTACTTTGGGGCAACAAACATGGAGCCTCCGAGGCTCCCTGTTATCTGACAGATACGCTGTGGGCCAGCAGACGTGGGACCCCTGGGG